CCAACAACACCTCTACCCCCAACAACCCCAACAACCCCTCCACCCCCATGAACCCCTCCACCTTGTAATGTGACTCGTCTTCACACTCCAACAGTGGGAGTCATATCCACCCTCTGCCCACTGACTACTAACCCTGACCTCCAGCCAGTCTAGTTGAGACAGAGACAGAGACAGAGACGCTCTGACCTGGTCTCAGGCTGCATTCATGAGCAGCTCATCACAGCTGTGATTAACTCTGTGTTAGAGAGACCAGCAGACTGACCAGCAGAGTGAACAGAGAGAGACCAGATAGAAACCAGCAGACTGACCAGATAGAAACCAGCAGACTGACCAGCAGAGTGAACAGAGAGAGACCAGAGAGAGACCAGATAGAAACCAGCAGACTGACCAGCAGAGTGAACAGAGAGAGACCAGATAGAACCCAGCAGACTGACCAGAGACTGACCAGAGAGAAACCAGAGAGAGACCAGCAGAGTGACCAGAGACTGACCAGCAGACTGACCAGATAGAAACCAGAGACTGACCAGCAGAGTGACCAGAGAGAGACCAGAGAGAGACCAGAGAGAGACCAGAGAGAGACCAGAGAGAGACCAGAGAGAGACCAGAGAGAGACCAGAGAGAGACCAGCAGACTGACCAGCAGACTGACCAGATAGAAACCAGCAGACTGACCAGCAGACTGACCAGACACACAAGCCTGTTCCAGCTAAGCAAAATTTCCACTCCATGTAATCTGACTATTTCACAGTGGATACAGGACAAGGCTGGTGCTCTGAAGGGTTGCTGGTTTGAATCCCCCCTGGTCTAAGTTTTATTTCTGTCTTTCTTCCTCACCGTTAGCCTCTTGTCCGGGTTGACTTCGATCATTCCCTTCAGCAGAGCCTGACAGTCGGGGGGGATGAAGTGGGGCATGTGGAACACTCCGCTCTTCACCTTCTCCAGCAGCTGCCGCAGGTTGTCGTGGTCAAAGGGCAAAGCACCCTGGGAAATGAGTGTGTGAAAATGAACATCAACGCCCTCCTGTCACCTGACCCACTCTGAGGCCCACATGTCTGGGCCACATGGGGTCTGTGGACCTCACTGACCGTTACAGTGGGCTGACTGTGTACTGACTGTGTACTCACTGTGTACTCACTGTGTACTTCAGTACTACTAATACTAGTCATTTGTATTCAAAGGTCTCACCACCAGGAGAGCGAAGAGGATGACTCCACAGCTCCAAACATCTGCCCTACGACCGTCGTACTTCTCCCCCTGGTACAGGAGCAGAAGAGAGTACCGTCAGGATTAGTACTTCACACATACAGTACACAGTACACGGAGTACAGGAGCAGAAGAGAGTACCGTCAGGATTAGGACTTCACACATACAGTACACAGTACACGGAGTACAGGAGCAGAAGAGAGTACCGTCAGGATTAGTACTTCACACATACAGTACACAGTACACAGAGTACAGGAGCAGAAGAGAGTACCGTCAGGATTAGTACTTCACCCATACAGTACACAGTACACGGAGTAAAGGAGCAGAAGAGAGTAACGTCAGGATTAGTACTTCACAAATCCAGTACACAGTACACAGAGTACAGGAGAGTATCAGAGAATACACACCCGTATCACCTCTGGACAGGCGTAGTGTGGAGACCTGTTTGGACCGAGGACAAATACTTCAGCATTTCTAGGCAGTACACAGAATATTTGTAAAGGTTTACAGTTTGAGCCAGAGTCAACATAGACTGACCCACAGCTGGTCTCCAACAGACTGTCCCCGACCTGCAGAGAGGCCATGCCGAAGTCCGCTATCCTTATGTTGTTCTTCTCATCCAGGAGAAGATTCTCAGGCTTCAAGTCTCTGTGACTGTACACACACACACACACACACACACACAGTTTACACATCATAAACTTCTAAACTTTAATGTTTTTATTTTCTCTGTGTTGTTTTGGTGTTTTTTTGATGACCAGTCTGTGAACCAGTGACCTTTGACCAGTGACCTTTGGTCTAGTTCACGGTGGTCTGTGTAGACCCACTCCTCACATGTTGATGAGTGTAGGAGTGTTAATTTAATGTTGTCGTCCTGACGTCCTGACGTCCAGACATCATGATGTCCAGACGCCCTGACGTCCAGACGCCCTGACATCATGACGTCCTGACATCACGACGTCCAGACGCCCTGACGTCCAGACGGCCTCCTGCTACCGTGCTGTTTGTGAAGTGGTCAAAGACAGAGGGGTAAGAAGTGTCACCAGATGGAGTGGCTGTGGCAGAAGTCCAGGGCAGAGATGATTTGTCTGAAGAATTTCCTGGCCTCTTTAGGGGTGAGTCTGCCCTTCTTCACCAGGTAGTCAAACAACTCTCCCCCCGACACGTGCTCCAACACCAGGTACCTGAGCAGAGGAGGTCAGAGAGGTCAGAGAGGTCACGGGGTTAACCCACGACCTTTGACAGCCGTCACGCACACGCGTCAGTGACGTGGCTCTTCTACGTGTTTTTATCTCAGGTTTGTCTTACACTCTATAAAATTCAAGGTTGCTGGTGCTCTGGCACAGATCCAGAGACGGGGGAGAGGAGGGGGGAGGAAAACGTCAGTGCAGAGGGGGAGACCAGAAGAAAGATGAAGAGATACTCACAGGTATTTGTTATTCTCATAGACATCGTGCAGCTTCAGAACATGAGGATGTTCTATTAGTTTAAGAATAGCTATTTCTCTCTCCACCTGGAGACGGAGGAGGGGGGGGGGGGGGAGGGGGGGCATGTACAGGAAGGTGAGGAGAGAGAGGGAGGGAGGGAGAGAGAGAGGAGGAGTAAGGTTAAAATGTTCAGTCAGTGAAACAGGAAGTTAGATTTGATGACTTCACAGCAAAAACAAGTGAAGAAACGTTTGAAGTTCAAAGTCTCGTCCACATCAAACAAGATCAAAACAAATCAAAGGCAGAGTTCGTCTGGACGGCGTCGTCCACTCACATCTGACAAAAAGATGGATTTCAACCAGCAACCTCAGATTCAACACGTTCTCCGTCCCAGATGGACCATCCAACGTGAAGACAGAACGGGTCAGTCCACCACTGAGCCACCGTACTGACCAACAACAGCCAACGTTTTTATCTACTGACAAATGTTCCATGGGTGGAGTCCACACGATGTATCCCACAATTCACTGGGTTTGTTGTCATGGATTCACAACAGCAAACAAGTCATTAACCAATCATATTCAAGCCCATGAGGTGAGCAGGGCTAACCACTGTCCCACTGTGTCAGGCATCAAAAACGTTTTTCATTTTTGAAAACTATTTCAACAGTGAGGTGAGAAGAGCCACATATTGAGACACCTTCAATAACATGTCCAATCAAACTGCATGTTGTTGGACAGTGGGAGGAGCCAGAGGAAACACACGTCCATTATACCACCGGGGATCGAACAGGGCACCTTCCTGCTGTAAGGCAGCTGCACCAGTCAATGAACCACAAGTTTGTTTTGGTGCAAATTCAGTGTCAACGAAGGACTGAAGGGAGGACGCACAGGAAGTGGACACTGACCAGTGGACGTGTGGCTGGAGGTTCAGGTTCGAATCCCGCTGCATTCCTAACCAAAACAAGCCTCGGAAAAGGGGTCTCTCTAGAAACCCTGGATCTACACTCCTGAGCTGTGTCAAAGACAAGAACGACGACCATGTGGTCAGAGGTCAACTGGACCGGGTCAGGGTCAGGGTCAGGGTCAGGTTCTGCTGCAGCGCTGGTCAGAACTCAGCACCTCCTGGACCGGGCTTTTCTCCACACACACAGACACACAGACAGACACACACAGACCGGGCCACTGACAAAGCGGGCGTCGTACCTTCATCAGAACCGACTCGGAGAGTTTCTCCCTGTTGACGATCTTGATCGCCACCTTCTGTCCGGTGATGCAGTGGACACCCAACTTGACCAGACCTGAGAGGAAGAGGGAGACGGACAGGAAGCAGACGTTTGACCAACAGAA